TGTATCTTAACAAGGGATGCTCCAATGAAGTTTCTTTATATGAAAGATCCTATCTTTTTTTCGATGAGGAATCACCCCCTTAAATGTTTTACACTTATTTAGTTACACCCTGTATAAATATAATGCTTCAACCTAACTTTTTCTAATCAAACACTTTTTTAAATATACTGAAATATTATAAATTCTATATTAAAAACAAAATTATCTCATGTAATAAATATTTCCACTTCGCACCATCGAGCAATATTAAATTTCAGATCTATCCTATATGTACCCCTTAGTCCGTATCTGGCCAAATTTCAATACTCGGTAGACGAGGAAGACAATATCGCCTATCTCTCGGTATGAACACGGAACTTCTTGAGAGGGGATATTGTACCCGAAATTACTTTGCTAATTTAACAATTACGGCTTTATAATACGTCCAATCTTAAAAAATATTTTTTGATCTTGTTAAGAAAAAGATTTACTACAACTTAAATAGTACCCAATCGTTTAACGAATAATGCATATTTAATAAAATTTATATATATAAATATTTTTTTTTTGAGAACTGGCCATTTTTTCAAAAAAGTATGCTAACCGGGGGCTAGTGCCCTTGTTCTCTTTGCACATTAGATTAGATTAGATTAGATTAGGAGTTGGACGTTATTTGTCCTTGTCCACCGCGACCTTTTCAGATCTATTGTGGGACTCCGTTTGTTTTAGAGTATGTCGTCTAGCCTGGTCTTTTTTATTAGACTTAGTAGCTTTGACAGTGGCTCCCGCATGTAGTTGCATGCAATTGGCTTTTCTTCGATCAATGTTAGAAACCTCATACCAGCCAAGCCTTCACATTGGCACAGGACGTGGAATGATGTTTCTTCTTCTTCTTCACAGAACCTGCACAAAGTTGCTTCTTCTGCTGGATTTATGACACTCATGTGCCTTTTGAGGTGACAGTGTCCAGTAAGAAGGCCTACTGTTATCCTAACGATTTGACGTTTTTGATCCAGTAAGTCTTTCGTAAACTTGGCCGATGGTTCCTTGATGAACTGTTTGGCCTGTCTCAGTCTTGGATAGTTGTTCCACCATTCCTGAGACTCTTTTTGCATCCATTGTTTAATGGATGCCTTGCACAATGCCTTAGCGACTCCACCTCTTTGCACATAAAAAAAGTATGATATTATCTTTAACATTATGTCTTCTAGGATTAAACCAGAATACCTATTATTTATACAAATTTCTTGTTAGCGGAGCAATAACTCTTAACAATATTACGAGAATCAGTTTTCTTTACATTGACAGATTTTTAAATCTAATGAAAACAATACACAGTGGAATAAAAATGGAAACTTTTAGTAAGTTTATTCTGCCATCTATTTTAAACTAGCAAAAGCTCCAGCCGTCTCCAGCTTAAAGATACCCAAATAGCGTCTCCACCTGGTGGTGGTCTCCTTTTGTTATCAAACAAATAAATGCATTAGTCTGACCTACAATGATTTTACTAAAAAAATTTGGCCTAAAAACTTTTTTTTCTACACCCGTATTATAATAATGCACTTATATGCCCATAATCCGTTTCATAATGATACCCATTATGATACAGATTTTTCATTACGATACAGATTTTTAATCAATAGAAACCTACAATTTTTCAATCAAGCATGCTGTTTGACGTTTGTCCTAGGTTCCTATGTAATTATTTTAGTTGTCAAAACGTATTAAATTTTCGTAGGTAGCTAAACTTCGATAATTATAATATTAAAATGTCTGATATTAGCGATATAGAAGACTCCTCCACACATATCGGAGAAAGCAGAAAATACAGTACAAAATATTTTACCGCAAAAATCTAGGGAAATACCAATACCTGAAGTAATACCATTAATTACAATTTTGTAGAATTTTTTATAGAAATACGAGTAATTACTGTTATTGTGTTCAATACCAATATTAATATAATATTTATAGGTCTTGATTATTTATCGGGTGTAGAAAAAATAGCGTATGCAACTCTCATGTAATGGTTATTAAAACACTCGCATAAACCATACGAAACTCGCCTTTGGCTCGTTTCGTATCCCGGTTAATGCTCGTGTATTAATAACCATCATTACATGATCGTTGCATAATATACTATTTTTGACTGCATTCCCCAAGAAAAAATTTTTTTTCTCTGCTGCTCCTCCTCCTCCCGCCTCTATTATATCAACCACCTTTGAACATCATTTATGTTTTTTACAACATTTTTTTAATTTCCTGGTTCAAGTTCGATAAAATATTGTTATGCTGGTTTTTGGTAAACTTAATACATTTCCAATTCAAATTTTTACAATTAAACTACAGTTCATCAAATTTCTAGAGGTGTTCGACGCCCAGACAGAGAACGCGCTACGTGTGACTAAGATAGCTATTGTACAGTCTGCTAAACAAGTTATTTTAAATAGTTTTTAATATTTTTAGGTAATTAAATTTTAAAAGTATGGAATAGTTTAGGGATTAAATTGGTCTGATTGGACTTTCTTAGAACGTTTTTAAAAGCAGCCAAAGATAGTATGTAGAATTGAAAATAATTATTATGCCATAAAAGGTGTTTTGGAATTCTTTCAACCTTTTGAAATTGAGTCAGAAAATATAAATTTTATAGGATAGCGGAAAATACCTATAATTTTTTTGTAGGCCTTTGTAAATCGTGGAAATAGTTTATATTTCATTTCTACCTTATTAAGGAAAATGGTACCTATTGTTAATAACGGTTGTTTCTGAAACATTACTAAAATTTTCGAAATTTTGTTTTTCTACAAAATAATAAACTATACTATTTAGAAAAAAAATTATTTCTCTTATAATTTTATAAAAAATAACAGGGGAATATTTACATTTCTTGATCTATTAAACAAAACGATACATTATCTCGACGAATGACACCATGTTCTAGTACGGAAGCTAGCTTTACATTTTTGTTGGTGGTTTCATGGGTTTCATATCAATTTTTTGTAATTGTAGTTTACACGTACATATACCTCTTAACACTTGTTTGCTTTATTAAAAAAGTGTGTTGTTGTGATTTACGTCGAAATAAGTCAAAAACAACTTGAAACCCCATATAAAATCAAAAAGGAGAAACGGAAAAAAATTGAGCCTGTAAATGAACACAACTCAGAAACAAAAATAGCTATCTAATAATAAAAAAATAAAATTTGATTCTTGTGCAGCTTCATCTATATCATTAACTGTTTTTGGTTTTTTAATGGTTTTTCTTGGTGATGAAAATTCCGATATCTCACGGTTATCGATTCTTTTTTTCTCTCCAGAAATGCGGACGACAGTGTTTTTAGATATTCCTGTGGCTGCAGCAACACGATCATTTACATTTTTAAATGGTATTGAAGGTGAATTAAAGTTTCCTTCTCTTCTCATAAACTCTATAACATTGGCTATTATTTCGCGAGATTGACTGTTAATCACGCGGCCTCTTAATTTGCTATTAAACTCCATACTTAGGTTCTATTAAACTGTAATGAGCAAAAAACACAAACGAAAATAAAAGAAATGTTTTAGCGAAATTTACATCTGACATTTACGTCTGAATAAAATAGTGAAATACTTGATGCGCAGAGTGTACTTTCATTGCGTAAATCCGTCGGGATGCCTGTCAGTAGTGCTTTCTCTGTCTAGCCGTCGAAAGCCTCTAGAAATTTGATGAACTGTATACAGCTATTAACATACTGACATCTAGGCGAACACTATTACTTTCTTGTATTATTAGTTGCATATATTATGCATCATTTTATTGACAAGTAGAACATCATATTAATTATTTATTATCAACGATTTGCAAGTGTTGGTTAGCCATTTAGCTGATTTAGAATGGAAAATAAGAACAAAAACCGAAACTACCCACTATGCATAAAAACGTTAAATGAATGAAAACTGCATTACATTGTTACATTGTAACTCTCATTTCACTCTTGTTTTCATCTAAAGGACGGACTCATAACCGTCTAAGCCCAGAGTAGGGATGTTTACTTTTGTGATGAAACAATGTAGACGTTCCAGTGATATTATAGCGGTAACTTGTTACGTTATTCAACGTTACTGGAAGTTCCCAAAAATTATGTCTTTTTAACAAACCAGATGTGACATTCCTTGTATATTCAAGAGAGTCTTTTTACTTCTTGTAGATGTTATTATAAAGCCCATAAAATTAAATCATATTAATGAACTAAATGTGACGTTCCAAGTATGATACAGTTCATACCTTTTTATTTTTATCTTTGTCTTTTAAATTTTATATGTTATGTAAATATTTTATATATTTCATCTATATAAAAGAGAATAGAAATAATGTCTTCTAACTTGAAGTTAAAAGCTTAGCAGACAAGTTAAACTTCTAATTCCAGGAAATTTTACAGAAAGTATGATAATACAATGGTCTAAATTAATATCGAAGGAAAAAGTAAGAATTTTAATGAAATACTTAGTACCGGGCAAGAGACTGTTTCATAATACAGTACCTACCGGTTACGTAAGTAGTAAACGATCATTGGTATCTCCATCTATGAAGACGGGACGAACTGTTAGGTCTGTGATGTAAAGATGTGTAACTTGTACAAATTACTGTGCTGACCTGTATGCAATATTATTGTGAGTTATATAAATTAACATCGTATAAATATTTGTAACATGAAATAACTAAAAAGAAGTAAAAAAACTGTTTATGTAACTGCTAATTCAATTATTCCAGCGTACATAAAACTTTATTTGTAAATATATGCCAGAAATGATAATGAATATGATGTTAAAATTTAAACAACTATAGGATATTTTAGTACCGTTTTAAAAATATATCAAGAAAAGTATCTATGAGAAACGTTACAAGAAGGCTGGTTATGTTTCATGTTTAGTGGGTAGTCAACTTTAAAATATGGAGTTTACATATCAATATATCATTTTGCGTCTACGAAACTTTAAGATAGATATTTCTAATTGGAATTTAAACGAATTTCTTATTTTAGGCCGAGCAAAAAGCAAGATCCTTTCAAGGTGAGAGTCACCGCTGACGTGGACTCAGAAGGCAACTCGAACAGCGAAGAAATCAAGAGAGCCGTGTATGAACCAGTACATACCAAGCATAGATTAGGAGAACTCACTACCACAGATCCGGATGATTTGAGGTTTAACGAATTTGGAGGTACGAAAGAAAGCCTGTTATACTTTCAACCAATCACCTAATTAAGTATTCGAGGAAGTAAGATTAGCAACATCGTATTAAGAAAAAAATACCAAAGAGAAATAAAATTAACTGCATTAGTTGATTTTGTAATAAAAAAAACCTTTCTCTATTTTATACAGGGTGTCCAGCGACGGGGAACACTATCTAATCGTATATCTGACAATGGAAGGATTTTATTAAAAATTACTAAGGAATATAGGTTATGATCTTTCCATCTAATTTTGACAGTTCTGTCATTTGCGCTTATACCTTGTTCTTAATTTTTATTAAGGATTGCAATAGAACATTACATTTTTAGGGTCACTTTGTATAATAAGGTCTATATCTATTTATTTTTATTTATAAAAAAATATTTCAGAAAAACAAAATAATATTTATTTTTGAACGTGGCTTGCAGATTTTAAGAGCCAGTTTTTTTCGGATTAATATGCATGACGTATATTTATCGTAGGACCATAGGTTTATTACTTAGTCATGAAGTCATGCAAAAAATCAAAAAATTTGTATGAGTGAAATTTCCGCAAAAAATTTTTTTGGTCGTTACTAAGGTCAATTTTTGGATTACAGCCCTTAGGTCTTGTACACACTACTAAACATAAAATTTGGGTAGCAAAATTTTTTAAATGCTGTAACTTGACATTGGATTAATGATTTTTGCGGATTTGGAATCCTTATTTTACGTATATTTTCTATGGTCTAACCATTTTATTTGAGGGTTAAAATTTTCACATTGTACCGGGTCGATAATAGACAAAACCGTAGCGTACGACGCGCTCTAAGGTTTGGCATTATTTAAGTTTTGTAAAAATAAATTCTCATCTCAAGTTGTTATTGTTTAATGTCCTTCTCACTGTTCTGTCCAAAACTCTCACCCCAGTTTATTGTCTCAAAGAGTTTTACAGAGTTCTTTGTCCGCCCCAATGCCCATATTTATGATCGGCTGTAATTTCTACGCGACGCGTCAATTTCAATGTAGGCATTGGAAAAACAAATTTGTTGCTATGGAATTAAAAACTGTTAACATTATTTTAGAAATAATCTGACACATTTCAATGTTATAATTTAGTAAATTTTAATTAATATGAGGCGTTTAACCACGGCAGAAACGGACAATTGCATTCGACTTCTCAAAGAAGAAATGTCAAATTAGTATATTGTGCAACAAGTGTTGAAAATAGCACTTTTCACACGCATGTGACGGTTTGGGGCACGAGTCTAAAAGACGAGTGCCACAAGTCACAAAGTGTGAAAAGTGAAAACACGAGTTACACACTATACTTTTCCTACGGCTGCCACTTTATTATCAAATATTTTTAATGATATTATTGTTAGTACAGCAAATCTTATTTATTTATCTTATATATTTATTTATAACCATACAGTTATACATACATATATTTACAACAATGAATAAGAACAACAATGAACAATAACAACAATGAAAAAACAATTTTTATTCGCTTATTAATAGTCTTCCCTGCTGTTTTATTTGAAATTGTAATTTACTGTTATGTTAGAACAATTTTTAAAATTTATTGTAGGACAGTCCTGCCCTTTCAGCACATTTTCAGTTATAGTTATGTTTTTTCGTTTGAACAAGATGGCTCAAAATACTGAGGATCAAAAGGATGTATTTTGTGTAGCTGGTTATCTGATGTGCTTTCTTCCAAATTATGATCAGAAGGATTTACTGATCCGACAATTTTTTTGGAAATTTCAATTTTATTCTGTACGGAATCGTCTATGTATCCCTCAGCGACAGTGCTAGAACGCCATCATCCATGGCATTTGAGGGTTAGCAAATCGCCACCTGCAATAACTAACATTGTAGCCGATGATCGACGAAAACAATGGTCAGTATATTTCTGGGGGTTTGATAGTTTTAAAAAGTTGCTTTCTTTAGCCATACTTCCGATTTTATTAATTCCTACTACCTGTTTCGTGCATTTTCCATTTTTGTAATTTAAGAAAAATCTCTTTTCTGTAATATTAGGAGGCCGCAGACTAGCATATTCTCAGCAAATATCATAAAATCTTCCTCTTATAGTAAAAGATCGAGGTATCTTATTTTAACTAAGAAAGCGGACTTTAGATCTTGCATATCATCGATTTTTATCTGGCACAATTCCTCTCGCCTACAAGCTCCGGCTAAGCCAACAGCAACTACGGTCTAACAATTAAAAAACTTGATTAGATATTTTTATACTTTTAATAAATCTAAAACTTACCTTAGTTAATAAATATATGTTATCTGGAGCCGTATTCAGAAATTTATGAAAATCTTGGGATGTTAGAATTCTTGATTTCTTTGGCACATACTTTTCTGCTTGCCTCTTCAGATAAGCTAGTAACTTATGATATTTCGAAATATCAATACTGTGTTTGAGGTTTATAGTGTTTTTCAACATAGAATATTGCGACCACATTGTTGAGGATTTATATTTTTGCGCTAATTCTTCAAAATAAACAAGCAGAACATTCTCTGATAACGATTTTAGGTTTCGTTCATTCTTCCATTTTACAAATGTTTCATAACAACTTTCATATCTTTCTTTTGAAATTAACGGTAGAAGATTTTGCGTGATTTGGGAGGCTCTTTCAAGTATTTCTGGAGGAATGCAGTTAAATTCATCTTCTATCATCGTGTAACACTGCTTTTTTTCTATTTTTGTATTATTTTACTTTTCACACTGCGTGTGAAAACGTTTTCACACGCTGTTTGAATTTGACGTTTTTCGAGGGAAGTTGGTAGTGCGTTCTTGTGTATATTCTAAGCAGCCGTAGGAAAAAGCAAATTGCGCACTTTTACAATGTCAGCCGAAAGACAATTTACGAGCCCTAACAACTATATGTTCAGACGATATAAGAAAATTAAAAAAAAATATATTTTTATTTATTTTAAACAATTTTTTCGATTTTCCTGAGTGAAAAATCAAGTCACATACTCTTTACTTAACATAAAATCTGATCGTAAGGCAATAGTTTTTTATGTTTATAATCAACATAACAAAGTAACGAAATTTAATCAAATTTTCCGACAAATAAATATTCGGACAAACTTGAATTTGTGGTAATAACGGCTTGAATGCGCCATGGCATGGAATCTACTAAAATCTTACAATATTCGGGAGTGAAAGAGTTCCAAATTTATGAAATGTTTTCCTTTAATGCGGGAACGGTACGCTGAGGATCGTTACGCAAAGACTTCTTCATCTGATGCCATAATGTTTCAATGACATTCAAGTCGGGACTACTCGAATGCCACGATAAAACTTTTATATTATGGTCACCAAATCACTTTTTCGTTGTTTTCGCCGTATGGCAGGGTGCACCGTCTTATTGAAACATAAAACTATAATTTCCAAAACATTGTTCTATTGTTGGAATTAAGCTTTTTAATAAAATTTGTTGATACTTTTCTGCATTTACTGTACCATCAATAAACTCATACTTGCCAACCCCTTTACTACTCATACATCTCCATATCATAACCCCCTAGGGAAATTTAACAGTACCCTTTAAGCAGACTTTATGAAAAACTTCGGATTTTGTACGAATTACCCTTTTTCGAAAATCTCCAACGCATACATCAAATTTCGATTCATCGCTGAAGATGACATTACTCCACATTTCCGTTGTCCAGGATATTTTGGATGTTACCCAATCCAAACGTTTTTTCATTTGAATAGCTGTCAGTAATGGCTTTTACTTCACCTATAAGGAATGTGTGTAACAAAACATTATTAATTTTTGCGTATTAAAACGAAAAATTACAAACTTGCTTTATAAAAACTGTAACCACACTTATGCAACCATTGTCTACAACATTCCCTAGAGACATTTAATTTTGCCTCATGATTCCATTTGGCCTGACTTTGTCGTAGACTAGCCCTTCTGTTGGTTTTGCAAATCTTTACCAGAACACGGCGTTCTCTTTCTGTAATTAGGCATTCCAAACAAATGAATTACCATTGGGCAGGTTTGGTATATCTAAGGATGGCGACATATGGTGTATTCCATCTACTTTACGTAAAATCTTGAATAATGGATTACATTTAAATATTTTATGTCAAACACAATAAAAATAATATTTAAAAAACCCACCTATACATTTCTTCATAAATTGGCAGGCTTGGCGAGTACTACTTCGAATAAAAATAGCGTCCAAGTTGCAAGACTATGTCGCTACTCCCTTAAATATACAAGAATTTCCCACTGGCACCTATTAGGCATTCCAACGACCTGTCAAACAATACCTGCCAGTGGGAAGGTCTCGTATATCTAAAGGGGTAGCGACATAGTCTTGCATCTTGGACGCTATCTACCAAACCTGCCCACTGGCAATTCATTTGTTTGGAATGCCTAATTGTTTGACAGGTCGTTGGAATGCCTAATAGTACGCGTTCGGCCTGGACTTTTACCACGAACGTCAACACTAGCTGTCTCTCCATATTTTTTAATAATATCCCCGATCGTTGATTTTGCAATATTTAAATCATTCGAAATTTTTTGCATTGATTTACCTCTGTTGTACTGAGAAATTATAATTTCTCGTAGTTTTATGTTTGTCGCAACTCCACGCACCATTTTCTTAAAAATGTATATCAAAATTTGACGGATAAACCTAACTGAGAGCTATTGACCTAAACACACTAGATTTATCAGTAAATGCATGCATATTACTGATTTAAAAGAGTATGTGACTTGATTTTTCACTCAGGCAAATCGAAAAAAAATGTTTAAAATAAACATAATAGTATATTATGCAACGAGCACGAAATGAAGCATATTTTGCACGAGTATGAAAGTTTGAAACACGAGCCGTAGGCGAGTGTTACAAATCATACGAGTGAAAAATAGATATTTCGTGCGAGTTGCATACTATACTTTTTCTACGACTGCTTTCTATTACACAAACACAAATAGATTACACTGCAAATAACAAATTATACAGTGAC